CATTCAACCATAAACAAAAATGTTTCTTTTTGATATCCTGCATTTTTTAACATTTTAAAATAAATTTGAAGGAAATTTCAAACAGAGAAATCTCTTGCAAATAAATGGCCAAACAAATCTTCTGAGTAATACCAACACTTCTGACAATATGAGGCTTCAGTGTAGTCCCCTTGTTATCTTTATCTCAGCACTTCCCCTGGGAGGAACATAAAATGCTCCTGTAGTATTCTTCCTCATTTGTTACCTGTATGTTAACCTTATTCTTAGGCTTTGTTACACCAGAGAAACCTGTCTCCACTGCAGTCTCTCTCAAACTGAGCCCTCCCAGTCTACTTATAAGGCTTAGCTTCATCTTCTCTGGTCAGGAGGCACCTTCTCCCAGTGCATAGTGAGGGTTCTTTGCCTTGCTTTGCTGATGGTGGGAGTTAAATCCCATCACGCTCCCCGTTTGTTAACCCACTCAAGGATTAGGAACAATTGTAGTCCCTACATTCGTGTGTCAGGGAGGGGGCCCTAACAGTCTCTCTTGTTCCACACCAGTTCACAGAACTGGGCAGCCACAACATGCGTGCCCCCTGTGCTACTTAGAGCTCTGAGAAGAAGTCTGCTCCCTGAGATACAGTTCCTCCTGGAACACCGCTTCACACCATTTTACTCTGCCTCCCGGCAAAGTGATCCCTTCATGATATTCCCAGCTCTGGGCTGTGACTGAATGCCACCCTCCAGGCTGCAATGTGAGGAGTGTTCTTTGTGGTGACCTATCTCACGTAGTACAAGTTGGGGTGTGTGTGCATGACTGTGTGAGAGAGAGGTGGTTATAGTTTCCCAGCTTCCAAGCCTGTGTTCTAATATTGTGTCTGATGTGGAGTTTCTTTGCAGTCTTGGACACGTGATTTCATTAGACTGCTCTGGGAATGCCCCCCTGCCCTAGCCCCCACGAGTACCCTGCCCAGACCCCAAACTCCCACGACTACCCATCCCCCCACCTAGACCCCAAACTCTCACGAGTATCCTGCCCCCCCGCCGAGGCCCCCATGAGTACTCTGCCCAGGGTCCCACCTGCCCCCTTTTCCGTGCTCAGGGCCCCACCAGGACCCTGCTCCTGTCCCCTAGCTCCTGGCCAGACACCTACCCCCAGCTTGCTCCTGTAGCCTATTTTCTACCCAGATTCTGCACCTTATCCCTATCTCACTGACTGGCAGCCCTGTCCCGCACATTGGCCCGAACCCTCAAACCCCAGAAGAATTAATCTGGTCTGAGGCCTTAAACCTTAGTCCTACCTACCCTCCCCCCATGGGGCTGGGGTGCCAGGGGAGGGAGGTGTCTCAGTTGCGGCCACATCAGTGAGGTTTGGGGGGGGGTTAGCAGGGTTTGGGGGTTTTTTTGCATCTCACTTGTGTGTTCCCTGATTGATTTTTCTGTAGGTCAGTGATCCCGACCCAAAACAGGTTCCCCGCTCTTTCCATAAATAAAGACAATGCTGAAACATTTGTGCTGGACATATTTTATTTAAAAATGAAATCTGGCCCACAAGGCCTCATCTGGCATCAGAACACCCCTGCATCCTCTCACACACTTCAATCCTGAGCCTATCATACACAGGAACCCTCTGTCCCGAGTGTCTCACATTCCCCGTCTTTTGCCACAACACTACTGCACAATCCACACACTGCAAATCTGTGTCCTGAGCCCATCATGCTAACCCTAACCCCTGCCCTGAGCGCCCCTCATACACCCCAACCTGAACTCCTGCACCCTCACATCCACAAGCCTGTGGTTTGCTCAGCACCCCCAACCCTCCACCTGACTCCAACACTCTCCAGCTTGGAGCCGCCTCCCTGAGCCAGAAGCCTCTTTTCCACCTCTTCCTGGACCCAAATTCCGTCTCAGAGCTTGCACCTTTCACCCCTTCCCACACCCAAATCCCTCATTCCCACCCCAGAGCCCGCACATCATGTCTCAACCCAGTGAGAGTGAGTAAGCGCTGGGGACAGCAAATGATGGAGAGGAGGGAAACAGAGAGGGCGGGGCCTCTAGAAAGGGGTGGGATCTTGGGGTTTGCCCTGACATTTAAAAAGTGATCTTGGGTGTAAAAAGATTGGAGATACTACCGTAAAAAAAATTTAATTTTCAAATTTCATACCAAGAAGTTTGTAAAGAGGATGTGAAGAACAAAATTGTGTTTCATCTGGATTGCCTTGATGACAAATTCATCCGCTATTTTCCAGACAACTTTTCTGGCAACCCCATTCATAAATGAGTACGCAATCCATTCAACGTTGATGTTGATTCATTGCCAGAAGTATTGCAAGAACAAGCACTCAAAATAAAATATGATTCAAGTGTGAAAGATAATTTCAAAAATACAAGCTTGGAGGAATTTTGGATAAAATATTTCCCAATGTATTCGAAAGTTGGAGAAGTAGCACTACGTATTATTCTTCCATTTTCATCAACATACTTCTGTGAAAAAAGCTTTTCAAGCTTAGTCACATTAAAAACAAAACAAAGAAATCAACTGGATGTCGAAAACTATTTGCATTGTGCACTTACGTCTTTCAAACATAGGATTTCTCAACTCATGAAGAAAATGCAGCATCATCCTTCACATTAATTTTGATTTGTTTTTGCTATTTCTTAAGTTAAATTACATTTGTATTAAATTTTTGTGTCAAGAAAAACTATTTGTGCATATTTTAATTTTAAATAATTTTTATACCAAGTTTTTATGTTTATTTTTAATTTTAAATTACAAATTGATTTTTTTTGTTAAAAGGGGGGGTTGGATGATGGTAAAGAAGAGGTGGTGGGGCGTGAGGGATTCTTAAAAATCAAAAGGGGGGTGTGATGCTGAAAAGTTTGGGAACCATTGCCTTAGAGGGATGTTTGAAGATTAAAGTATTTTATAAACAGGGCTCAACAAATAATGTAATCTACTCGCTTATAGCGAGTAGATTACACCCCAGAAGAGCCAGCGCGGAGCGATCTGCGCAAAGCGGAGAACCGTATGGTTGGCAAGCAGGGCTCACCGCCGCTCAGCGAGCCCTGTTTATAAACATAAAATAAACACATCCATCCATCTTTAATTAATTATGGCTCTACTGTTCCAGTTGGACTGAGATACACTTCAGCTTGAGAAATTATTTCTGATATCAGACCTCATTAGTACAAGGAGAATTTTCTGTTGTTTCTCTCTCTATATATATATATTGTTGCACTTCCTCAGACCTGTTGAGGAATAAACCTGGACAAAGGGTGAGCTGAGCAATATTGCTTTTGGGATTGTTTATTGGCACAGATTCTTAAGAGTCAGCGCGCATGCACACACACAGGCAATTTGGAGGCAGGTTGCAAGTGCGCGCACACACACATACACATACAGAGGCAGTTTGGAGGCAGGTTGCAAGTGCGGTGTAGATTACTTTTGATTTCGTTGGTGGCTAGAGTGCTGGCCAGGAGTCAGCTTGCTGGTGACTCGACCATGATGTTCCTTGGGAGATCCCTTCGGATCTGCAGGAGGCTTTACTTCCTCTGGGCCGGTCCGAGGTTTCTGCTGTGATGTTACATTTTGTCCAGGAGAGAAAGAGAGAGATTTTCCGTATGCTTCTCACTTAATTTATCTGCTTGTAGATACATTGTCTGCCTTAAAATGGATCCTAAACTGCCTTTTTGGTTGGGTATTTCTTATTCACACCTCATACGCATTCCACAGGTTAGATACATGTTCATAAGCAATATGGTTTCTAAGCAAAGTGGTGTCTCATAGCCTTGGGTACAAGAAATTGCATTGTACTACAGATAACAAACCAAAGGCATGATAAAAAGCTTAACAAATTACAACTAAGAAAGCCAAGGGAAGAAGGGAAAAGCAGAGGAATATGTCTTGTGAAAAGGAGGAAGGGAGTCGTATCCGACTGGTTACGTGTGTGTGTGTGTGTGTGTGTGTGTGTGTGTGTGTGTGTGTGTGTGTATAATATATAAAAACAAATGTTCCTGCGGGATGACAGTGACATCATCACATCACTCTGGGTCCCGACTGACTCTCCTCTCCCCCACACCCTTTCCCTCAGTCCTCAGCTGTGCCTATCTCCTCCCACTTCCACAGTGCTCAGGGCAGAGCATGGGGCCTGGCAATGTTCTGGGGAGGTGAAAGCTGTACCCCTCGCCTCAATGCATGGCCCCTCCCCTCTTAGTTCTGGGTGGGGGGCAAAAGCCACGTGGTGCTGGGAGCCGCAATCCACGAACCACGTGGTGCAAGGAGTCTCACAGTTCCTACCCCCCCATGCATGGGGGAGGGCAGAAGTTGCGAGCCATGTGACCCCCCTGGGCTCGGCCCAACCCCCTGGAGGTTGGGGAGGAGGGCCAGGCCTGGCTACACCATGGTTTCAGCCTGGCCCAACCCCCCAGAGACTGGGGGGGAGAGGGTCAGGCCAGGCATTGCCTTGCCCAGGAAAGGGCGGTTTAGGGTTAGGCTGTGGCAAGGGTATAGGTGGGGAAGTGGGGGGGAAAAAGGCCTGAGTGGGCTGTGGGGGAGAAGGGGTCTGGGCTGGCGCGTCTGCAGCCTAGCTCTCCCCAGTGGCGGGAACCAGGGGGAGAGGGGAGAACCAGGGTTAGTGAGCAGGGGGCAATGCTCCCTAGTATCTTTGTATAGGTGGATGGATACCTACATACAGAAAGAGAGAAATATATGTAGTAATGTCGAATTAAGAATTGTGTATTTGCAAACATATATATTATCAGTTAAAAATGAAGTAGATAAAAATTATACATTTGTTTGGGGTATTTTAGTACTTGAGTACCATGGGCTTTATTTGAAGGGGGAGCTTCTTTATTTCTGCCTCTTTTTCTGTCTTTAATGATGATATAATACAGCTTATAAAACACATCTTACTGTTGTTGTATCATTTTCACACTCTACAACACAAAGAAGTCATGAATCCTGTACAGGACAGTAAATATGTGATTTCAGTGTTGTTGTTTTCCTGTTTTCTTATTCACAGAATATCAATAACTAGAGTGACAGCTGACATTTCTCTTGCTAAGAGGTCTGTCCTAAATAATCCGAGCAAGAGGGCAATAATTGAACGGTCAAATACCAGATCCAGTTTAGGTAAGATATTAGCAAATATATTGCACTGCAAATAGGTATGTCCAGGAATAAAGGGACAGCTTTTCTGTTATAATCATGAGATGCCTATAGCATATGTCACCGAAAACAAGCAGGAATTGCAGAAACTATATTTTAGCTTTGTGGGACCACGTGAAGGCTGTGGCATTTCCAGATAAAAAGCCTTTTTTGCAGTCCACCAGAACTTTTCGGCACAAATATAAATCTTATGCACCTATGCTTGATCAATTGCCTATTGAAGTCAATAGGAAGAGTCTTTGTACTGACTTCATTGGGCTTTGGATCAGGCCAAAAATCTATCTGAATTTAATTTCAAGTGATTTATTCCCAGACTGATGCAGAGGATTTAAATGGGTAAATTCAAATTTCACGTGCTGATGGAAGGAAAAATTTCCTGGGGATAAAATTCATCCCATTGTGTGTTGGGAAAAGGATGGTGTATTACAGAAGCTTCATATTAAGTGCCTAAGTGAAATATAAGTAATGCTTTACTGCAAGTATTTTCTGTAAGAAAAGTAAAATCTTTTCTGGGCCTCATATTAAGGATTGCTTCATTCTGAGTGGTTGATTTTGCATTTTAAGTCACTAATACTGTGAAGAAGACAACTGAAATATTTAGAAATAATCAACAAATGGTCTGGTAGCGTTTTATAGACTAACAAAACATGTACATGATATCATGAGTTTTCGTGGGCACAGCCCACTTCTTCAGATGATCGGAGTTTTGAGTTTGGGATGTGCAGAACCAAAATAAATAGGAGAGAAGGGGGGTGGGAGAGAAAAAACAGGAGGTGGTGGGAGACAGGGAGCAGAGGGTATACCCTGTTTCCCACACTGTCTTTTTTTTTCCTTCTCTCCCCTCCACCCTGTTCTTTCCTATTTATTTTAGGTCTGTACATCCTAAACTCAAAACTCCAGTCATCTGAAGAAGTGGGCTGTGCCCACGAAAGCTCATGATACCATGTACATGTTTTGTTAGTCTATAAAGTGCTACCAGACCATTTGTTGTTGTTTTTTCTGTACAGACTAACTTGGCTACCCCCTGAAACTAGAAATAATCAGTTGGCCATGTAGCCAGGTTATTGGGTGAACCATGTTTTTAACTGATTGAGTCCATGTGTGTTTGAGGGATGCCAAAGAACAAATCTTAATAAGTAACCTCCTGCTTAATAGGTTATTAGAGTAACAATTATGTGGATAGTTTAGATTGACCACAAAAGAGCATTTTTATTCATAATTTTACTAATATTTCCAAATATAGCAACTATACCAGAATACCAGATTCATCATATTACATAAAGTAAATATTGAGGATTAGTATTAGGGATGTAAAGTTAAACTTAATGGGTTAACTAATTAAATGGGAGGGGGCTAGAACGGCCCCCTGTGTAGTGGGCAGAGGCTGCTCCATCCCAGCTGCTTTCAGCTTCGGGCTGGGGGCTGGAAGTCGGCAGCCTCACATGAGGCTAGAAGCAGCAGCCAGCAGCAGGGGTGGACAGCCCCTCCCCACCAGTGTGAGCTGGGAGTCTGCAGCATCCTGTAGGGCTAGAAGCAGCAGGCCTTCTCCTCCTCCCCTCTCCCGGCTGCCACTTCTGGCCTTGCACTAGGCTGCCGTCTCCCAGCCTGCGAGCCTGTGCAGGCTGGGGGTATGTCTAGTCTACACCTCTGTCGACAGAGAGATGTAGATTAGGTACGTCGAAATTGCTAATGAAGCAGGGATTTAAATAGCCCGTGCTTCATTAGCATAAACATGGCCGCCGCTTTTTTCTGAAATGGAGCTTTTTCGGAAAAAAACAGCAGTAAATGAGGTTTACAGGATCTTTCAAAAAAGGGTTTATTTTTCGAAAGATCTCCATTTAGACTGCCGTTTTTTGGGGAGGAGGTTTCGAAAAAGCTCCATTTTGGGAAAAACAGTGGCCATGTTTATGCTAATGAAGCACGGGCTATTTAAATCCCTGCTTCATTAGCAATTTCGACATGCCTAATCTACATCTCTCTGTCAACAGAGAGGTGTAGTCTAGACACAACCTAGATGCCGGCAGTCAGGCTGGAGCAGCCCTTCGTGGGCAATGGGTTGCTTCTGGGTAACGGTTAACTGTTATTCCATAAGCATCACCCATTAAGGTGGTTAACCAGTTATCCATTTGCATCCCTAGTTAGTATAAAGTTTGGGGTAGAGAAGTGACATATCTATTTTCAGGATCTGTATTAATTATAGACCACTAAAACCTTAGCCCAAATTGCTTTGCATTTTTTGGGCATTCCCTTTCTGCACAATGCCAGTCATACATTAGCTGCAAGGTCAGCCATATCACTGAGCTAAGCATTAATATTTGGTAGGGATCAACTTTTCCATTTTTTTATTGATTAATTTTTTAGCCATCAAAGGCTGCACTTTGGAACTGTGCTGCCTTGTTACCAGGTTATCTTCAGATATTGGGAGTATATCCAAGAATGACATTTAATGGGAAGGGTTCCCACTTAACATCAAATATAAAATTGATCCTTTGACCTAATTCATATCTGAAATGCTTGATACAGGATGCTCTAAAAACATATGAACTGATGTAGTATCAAGAGAGTTAGCATTTGGTTGCTAGCCTATGTTGAGACCAAAGTAGCATTTTTAAACACAGTCAAAAATATATATTCTGTATATATTCATGTGTAAATACTTGAAGTCCATATATTATATGCATACTATATACCAAAGCCAATGGCATATTTGATTTTTTTTCTAATCAGTATTAGGATAGAGTAGCTATGACCTGTTTCTGTTGTTGTTTTAGCTGAAGTGCAGAGTGAAATTGAAAGAATCTTTGAGTTGGCAAGATCCTTACAGCTGGTTGTCCTAGATGCAGATACTATCAATCATCCTGCACAACTTATTAAGACATCTTTAGCACCGATTATTGTCCATGTTAAAGTGTCATCTCCAAAGGTAATTGCAATCACCTTTAAAATATAGTTATTTTACTTTTTAAATGATATATGTCATTGTTCTCTGAAATAGGGTGTGTTTTCATTCCCCCCCAAAATGCACATGTTGACACCAGTGAGAGCTTTGTGCTTACATTAGAAGAAAATTGTTTTCATATACATGTTCTTATACAGGCCAGTCCCTGTAATATCGAAGCCCTTTCCAATAGTGCATTAAATTCCATGACTAATATCTGTCTCATGGTTTATTTTTATTTTTTTCTTTCATCCCCTCCCTATTGGGGGGGAAATTCTGTGTTTACAATTCTTATGCCTTGAAAATAGAAATTTAAACTCACTACGGGTATAAATGAAAATAATGTTCAAGATAGATACAGGATTGACCAGCCTAGAGATTTAAGCCCTAAATTTATCTTCAGAACAGATGCCATCTCTCCCCATCCCACCCATGTTTTTTAAGCCTCCTCTGGAGGGCCACCTCTAGAGGTGTAAGTTTAGATCGGTCCTTAGTGCTTCTGTTGAGGCTCTCAACTAGGGATGTGAATGTGTACTTGGGTACATGGTTAACCAATGAGCCTGGGCTCATGGTTACACACAGCAAACTCCCTTCCCGTGCTGTTACCTCTGTAACAGAAGTAGCAGCGCAGGGCGGGAGGAACCGTGAGCATTGGTTCCCTGGAGCCGCCCGCCCACCACAGTGCTGTACACATGTAGGCGCTGAAAGTTTCAACAGTTCCACATTTACAAAAATAAATGCAGCTTAACATCCCTACTCCCAACCAGGACTTTTACTAATGCCAGTTGTGGTTATTAGGTTTTTGGGATGCCCTGTAGGCTCTGCATTTAGAGTATGAAAGCCACAAAAGTGGCTGCTTTAATATACACATTTAGACCTTGTCTGCATAATTACACTAGTTTAACTGGCTTTTATATTGATTTTAGCATAATTCAGTTAACAACTAAGTATAGCTAAAATAATATAAACAAGGAGGATATTGGTAAGAGAAGAGTCCATGCAGGACTTAGCACTAGGGATGTTAAAATGCATTCATTTAGGTAAATGTGTAACCGCTGAAAATTTCAGCAGTTACAAGTTTACACGTGGTGGGGGCGTCTGCACAGGAGCCACATGGTTCCTCACCACACTGTTGCCTCTGTATCAGAGGCAGCACCATGAGGGGGGTAGGTAGAAGCCCATGGGTGGCTGATATGCTAGGCAGGGGAAGGCATTGCCTTCCTAACCCACCAGCCTGGCCCCACCCTGACAGTGCCCCCACAATGCCTGCCCCCAGTGCCTGCCCTCCCCTGTGCTCCAGGGCCAGGGAGGCTGGGGCTACACGCCCACCTGCCTGTCCCCTTTCCCCCATGGTGGGGAGATGGCTTGGCTCCTGAGGGGGTCAGGGCCCCCGCAGAAGGGGTGAGGTTGGGAGTGGGGGTGGGGGCTTGCCTCCCCCAGAACTGCCTTTACCAACAGCCCATTAGTGAGCCAGTGCTTGCAGGGAGCTGGCTTAAAAGGGAGGGTTGGCTAATGTAACAGTGAACGTTAACTGATGGGCCCAGGCTCATTAGTTAACTGTCTACACAAGTACATGTTTGCATCCTTAGTTTGCACCAATTTTCATATAAAAAACAATTTTAATTAAACTTCTGTAAGTTTTACTATAGACAGGGTTGTAGGTCCTATCATGATTTTGCAGTCAGTACCTGATTGCTTGTGCTCTTTCACAATTTGCTTGTTACGTTAACTTATGGCAGTTAAGGATGTCTACTGTTATGTAGCATTATATTTCAGGACCATAGACATTGGGGTGAACAGCGGCTTTCAGATTCTTCACTCATACATGTTTTCTGAAATTAAAAGTCTGAATCGTCACGTGGTGTAAATGGAGATAGGGTGATTTATATTAGTTGGAGATCTGGCTCACATTCTGTAAGAAACAGTATAATTTGTTTTAACAGTACCCCTTAATGCACTTTATAATATAAGACCTTAATGTAAGCTCAGTATACATAATTTGCGTTCCCTGCTAACTGCTATTGAAAATTCCTGATGTGGCGCTTGTAGTGCTAGTTATACCCATTCTGTTGAATGGAATGTTATCTGGAAGACAGCATGGCAGATGTGAGGGGAAGCATCAGGAGCATAGGAGTTGAGGGCACAGGTTTTTTGTTTGTTTGTTTGTTTGTTTGTTTGTTTGTTTGTTTGTTTGTTTGTTTGTTTGTTGGGAGTTTTTTGCAAGTCTTTCACCTAAAGGTTTGCAAGCAGGTTGCCTGACACTATAATTTTCTTTGATAGCTTATAGATAAATAATTTAGAATTCCTAATTTCTCCCGCCTCCTAACTTCTACTAGCAAACATATTGCAGGAAAAAATAATGAGGTAATATGAACTGTGGGTGTTAAAAAACCTTTTCTATCAAAATACACTTCCGAGCAGATTGTACCCATGATATCACTATTGTGCAGCATAATATACTATTACTGTTAGGCTATAATCAAACTGGTGCAATGGCATAATTTTCAGGGAAAATTGGAAAACAGTCCTTCAGAAAATTACGTTTCTTAACAATAAACTAGTACTTTGACCTAGAACAAAGCTAAATCACACTTTAAACTCATTTGGAAAACATGCTATGGGTCAAATCCTATGATGAGATAAACACCTATAAATCCCAGAGAAGTAAACTGAAGTATTTGCATCTGTCTGAAGGCAAAATTTGGTCCATTATATTAAATGTAGTACAAATAAGATCTTACTAACGTCGTTAATCCTGGCATTTGGATTCTTGGTTAATTGGCATTTGGATCTCTTGTATCTGGGGATGTTTAAGTCTTATACTCATGTTTTCCTCTTTTTCTTGGTCAGGTTTTGCAGCGGCTGATTAAATCCAGAGGAAAGTCACAAAGTAAACACTTAAACGTTCAGTTGGTGGCAGCTGATAAACTTGCACAATGTCCACCAGTAAGTACAGATAAAATCATCAAGAATAAAACTCAAATCAATGATCTGGAATTTTGTACTGAATTTTTATCACTTATTATAATTGAATTCACATGTTGTCCGTTGACTTTTGGTGATGCTCACAGCCCTCTAGTCATAGACCAACTAAGATTAAAAAAGGCAGTGCTATTCGGTCACTTTTTTTCTCAAAGAAGTAGCCTGTCTAAGGCCCTAAAATAGCCTCCATCTCATAATTGAGTTTCTGGCACTTCATCAAGGAATGCATTCTAAAGATCATCAGTTAAGAGATTCTGCTTGGCCCAGTGGAGCTATACACTTGCCACAAGCCACTTTGTTGGGGTGGTGATGAGCCATTTTAATTAATGTGGAGTCTTGTAGTTAGCAAACTCGCAAGCTGCCCCAGATGTTTGTCAGTCGATGTAGTAGTTTTCTATGGGGAGGGTATATCCGATACACATAAGCCTGCACCTACTCTCCCCCCCCCCCCCTCCGGCATACAGATCCGTGAATAAGTTAAATCTTGGCATGCCACTTCTGAAAGGTTGCCGACCCCTGGTATAGCACCTCTGGCCTAAGCCTACCCTCTTGCCCAGAGGAAACAGGCCTCCTACCCCTGCAACATATCAGAACTGCCAGAGGGAGTGGTGGAGCCACCACCACTGTGGGAAGGACAGGCTTAGGTATATATGTGCAGAAAAAACACGTTTCCCTCTTCCACTTGAACCAGTTCTCTTGTGCACAGACTGACTTTTCAGGGCAAATTCCTCCTGCAGCCATTGAGACTGCAGGCCCCACCTAATTACATCTCACTTAGGTCATGTCTACATTATGGGCATTACAGTGACATAATTACAGTGTAGACTCTGAAGGGACCCCACCTTTCAAAGCAACAGTATCTAGGTGAACGGATACTTGGACCGACTCTCGGAGTTAGATCAGCATTGCTAAGGTGCTATGGGGTGTTGGTTTTCCCACTCTTGAATGCTGTAGATCTGTCAACCTTAGTGTTCAGTGTAAACCAGACTTTAACCAATGTCTTCACTGCACATGAAGGTGTGATAACAGCAAAGACATATATACCCATAGCTTTAATTTAGCTAGTGGAGGCGACAATAGTAGTGAAGGTGTAATGCCACGCGCCATCACTAGCAACCCAAATAACTATCCAGAGGCCCTGGAAAGCTTGTACTCAGGCAGCTAGCCTGAGTTCAATCCCACGCCACCATGTCTACAACACTATTATTACCCTTGCTATTTAAATTAGACTTAATTTTTTACTCTTGCTAATTATTACCCTTGCTAGCTAGATTAAACCTAACAGGAGTATTCAACCTGTACTACAGTCACAGCTTCACTTTGCAGTGAAGACATAGAGTAGTATGGTCACTGCATTACAGCTAACAGCTTTTCATCAGCAGTTGTTGCTTTTTTTCTTCTGCGTGCCTGCTGGAAATTGGGCCTCTTCCTTGTCCCCTCTCTGCTGGGAGTCTGAATGCCTTCTTTCACCCATTAGGTTTTGAAGCATAGTAGAGGAGTGAGGATGAATTATTGCTTACAGAAACTCCTTGCTTGGCAAAAGCAAGCCTGCTAAACCGAAATAAAGAACCTCTTCTTCCCCTGTGCTGTCTAAGTCTTTTCTATCCGAGCTATTAAAAATACCACAATGGTGTAGAACAAATAAATGCAAATAACCCCAATTAATAGTTCTAATATTGCTACTCAAGCATTTCAAGTTAATGAGTTAGGCCATGAAAAATCACGAGATTGGCTTAAAATCTCAAAATTTCTTTTTTCTTTTCTTTTCGTTTCTTTTCGTTTCGTTTCGTTTCTTATGTCAGGTCATTATTCAAAAATGTCAGGTTTTTGAATATTCACTTTCAAGCTTTTCTCTGCAGCTGTGAGAGCCAAAAAAATTCCTTTTATTATATTTGCTTTTATGTGAAAGCTGAGATTCTCCCTTAATTACGTAATTCTGGGAACTGGGGCATTAAGAAAAATGCAAACACCAAATATTGCAAGTCTCTCACGGAAGTTATGAGCATTGTCAGCACATTTTTTGTGAGCAAAGAGGGAGCCTATTAGGAAAGGTGTAATGTCACAAGTGCTGTGTGACACAATGGGGCTTAGCAGATCTTCCTACAGTTTTAAAAAGCTGTAGCAAGCACACCCCTTAGCACACTCATCCTAGCATGTGATGATATGTGGCATAGCTCCTCCCCTACTAAGAAACACCCCTTCTGGGGCTGCTCAGCACTGCTTGCAGCATAAAACAGCCAACTTCCCCAGTGCTGGAAGATAAATCATGCCTGCTCTGGGTGTAGGTACACTGGAGGCAGGGCACCCTTCCCTGCACTTTGTCCCTAGTCTAGTGCTCCTGCACAGGGAGACTCCTGATTTGACCCACAGTGTCAGAGCAGTGCCCCTGCAATATACACATTGTTTCCTGTTCTTAGTTCTAGAATTTCCGTTGAGGATAGGAAGAGTGGGCGAGCAAACAGGTGTTGAGAGATAATTTCTTAACTGCGCTGGGCTGGCGAGCAGCATGCTTTGTCTTAAAGTGTCCCATTCTTCTCAGAAAGGGCCGCCTCTATCCTGTGCTAGGTTACAAAGGGCCACGGGATGGGCCTGCATTTTCTGTGTAAAAGGATAAGTGATGATCATTTTAGTGCAAAGAATCCATTCTGTCCCAACTCATCCCTTTTCAAGGCAATGACACACCGTAAGTGTGTCTGGTTACAGTAATAGTAGCATCTAGTGTTCTCTTCCCTGTCATCCTGCTTGTGTTCTCAGAAATACTGAGAGTTGTTCAAGCCATCTAAAATTTATATTGGATAGGGTGTCTGGTGTGTTATGTTTCTGCCCCGTGAGTAATTTTCCATTGAATCATGTTGTTACAACGAAGGGAAGAAAGAAGATATTTCTATGGATGCTGTTCAGAGCACATTAACTAAAACAAAATATGCAAGTTCTGTAGTAGTAGTAACCAAAAAGATACATCAGGTCTAATTCATACTAGGTGTAAATGGAGTTAAATGGGGTCAGACCTGCTCACATTGCATCTGACTTTGGTCCAGGGCTGCCATTGCTGCTTGCACGTGTAACCCAGAGGCACTGAGACCACTGACAAGGGAGAACATGATGGCTTTTAGCTCATGCACTAGAGGCACATGGATTTAGTCCAGGGCTGAGCAATAAAAAAAGGCAGCCTGCAGGGCTATACCATGGCAGGCTGCCACCACTATGCTTGCCAGCGCCTCCACAGGTATTAGAGGATTGCAGCTCTGGTTGGACACAAACCGCCATTCGTGGCCAACGCAAGCAGGAAGAAGCATTGCGGACTAGAATGTCACTTCCTGCTGCTAACATTGGTTGTGAATGGTGATTTATGGCCAACAAGAACTATGATCCTCCAATACCTGTGGAGGCATAGATAAACGTGGAGGTGGGGGCCCACCAGGGACTAATCTTGTGGACTGGATCCGGTCCGTGGACCGGAATTTGCCCACCCCTGCTTTAGTCCCTAAAGTCATAGGTTCAATCCCTCCTTCTAACATCCAGGGTCCATTAGACTTACATATGTATAACACTACCAGTAGTGTTCACCATTCTTCACATCGGAAAAAGCATATATTTCTCCATTTGCAAAGAGCAACCTGCACTGTACTTAATTTATACTGAAGTAGATGTTGGGCCTCAAACCATTAAGTGCCGGGGGTCAAGCAATTTTTTTACTTTCATAACTAACACAGCAAGCCCAGAGATGCCAGAACTATAAGCTAACAAAGCTAGAGGTACAGAGGCTCAGCCCAGGCAATCCGTGTCACAAATTAAGCCCTGAGTCTGCGCATATTTCACATGTGTGGGTTTCCCCCTCATTTCAGCTATGTCTGTTCCTATCAGTTATACTGAAGTGAGTGACTAAGTTAGATTGAAATAAATGGCTTGTCCCTGCAGTGTGAATGTCAGTGCTTAGCTAGCACATAATAGCACTTTATAATATGCGCAATGTCTGATATAACTCAGCTTTTGGTCCACATCCTGAGATTTTATTGAGATGAATTCCCAGTGACATTCAATGCCTGAGTAAGGATTGAACATAAAGGTCAAGATTTGGACTTGTAGCTGCCATGGGCAAAATTTCATTCACAGCCTATATCTTCACTAAACAGAAGATCAATGCTGCTATGATCAATCATTCAGGGTTCAATTTAGTAAGTCAGGTTAAGACTTGCTAAATTGAACTCAGAGGGCACCGTGCCATCCTTCCCTCTTCCCCCTCCCTCAGTCAGTGTCTGCTTCTGTGAGGAGTAAGGGAAGCCAACAGGAGCATTTGCTCTTGTTGGCCTCCCACTGTGGGGAGGTCAGGGAAACTTGAAACAAGGTACATCAACTCCAGCTATGTAATTAACATAGCTGGAGTTGCATATCTTGATTCGACATTCCCTTTTAATGCACACCTGGTCACAGAAATACACATCAGCTTTCCACTAAAGTCAATTGAACTGACTCGAATTTCACACAGATTTTACTTCATTGAAGTTACCCCTGATTTGCACCACTGTTAAGAAGAAATCTGAAAGCCATCAAAAATCACATTTCTAATTTGTATGCTATTGAGAAGCAGTGTTATGAAACTGATTAGAACTGTACGTCTAGACATTATAAAAATATTTTTGTGTTGGAATATCTAAGTGCTTTCATTATCAATTGCTCATTAATTTTTCACTGGTGCTGTTCCTGCTGTGTGCTAAGAATGCCCATCACTGCAGAATTCATTAAGCAGTAGCCATCACTTTACATGGCTTAATGAAACAGGATCAGTAACAAGAATGTAGTTAAGATGTGCTAGTCAAATACAGTTTATTATTGTTGGGTGGTTGGGTTTTTTTTTCAATTTACACAAATGCTCAAAAAGGGTTGACCTCTGTGTGCTCTAGGTGCTTCTGAAATCATTTAAAATACGTTGGAAATAATATTCCATCATAACTGAAGTGCAGCAG